TTCTCCCTCTTTTGGGCAGCCTTATCCACCTGTTTCCTATGAGAGAGCCTGCGGGGTGGAACAGAGTTTTTCGATGAGGGGACGAATGGGCCTTTAAAGACCTGAGACGAGGGTCCCATGCACTAGAGATCATGGAAATGCAAATCAAAACCACAGTGAGGTTTCACCTCACCCCGGTTAGAATGGCTCACATTCGGAAATCTACCAACAACAGATGCTGGCGAGGATGTGGGGAAAACAGTACCCTAATCCACTGTTGGTGGGAATGCAAACTGGTAAAGCCATTAAGGAAGACAGTTTGGAGATACCTGAGAAATCTGAATATAGTCCTACCATAGAACCCAGCCATACCACTCCTCGGAATTTACCCAAGGGAAATGAAATCGGCAAATAAAAGAGCTATCTGCACCTCCATGTTTATTGTAGCTCAATTCACAATAGCTAAGATATGTAATCGATCTAAATGCCTATCAACAGAAAACTGGATAAAGAAATTATGGGATATGTGCTCTATGGAATATTACACAGTGGTAAAAATAAATTAAATCCAATCATTTGCAACAAAATGGAGGAATCTGGAAAACATCATATTGAGTGAAATAAGCCAATCCCAAAGGGACAAATATCATATGTTCTCCCTGATCTGTGACAGCTCAGCACTTAAAAGAGGTACCTTTCTCTGAAGGAAGGAGAGAACTTCCACTTTGCTTATGGCCCTGTCTAAATACTGACAGAGTTTGTGGACTCAAAAGGCTTCCATTGCCTAGACAGCTCATGTCAAGAGCCTCTGGTGATCACCAACGTCATACATAAGAGTCAATTGTTAAATCAACAACAGGAGTCACTGTGCACTAACTCCTCATGCAGGACCTCTATCCTTAATGAGTTGTACTATGAGAATTAACTGTAAAATTTGTTCTCAAACAGCACTTTATACTTTGTGTGTGGGTGGGTGTAAACTGTTGAAATCTTTACTTAGTATAGAGTTGGTCTTCTGTATATAAGGATAATTAAAAATGAATCTTGGGGCCGGCGCCATGGCTCACTTGGCTAATCCTCCACCTGTGGCACCGGCATCCCATATGGGCACCGGGTTCTAGTCCCGGTTGCTCCTCTTCCAATCCAGCTCTCTGCTGTGGCCCGGGAGGGCAGTGGAGGATAGCCCAGGTGCTTTAGCACCTGTACCCACGTGGGAGACCAGGAGGAAGCACCTGGCTCCTGGCTTCAGATCGGCGCAGCTCGCCGGCCAGAGCAGCCATTTGGGGGGTGAACCAACGGAAGGAAGACCTTTCTCTCTGTCTCTCTCTCTCACTGTCTAATTCTATCTGTCAAATTTAAAAAAAAAATGAATCTTAATGAAAACTGGAATGGGAGAGGGAGTAGGAGGTGGCATGGGAGTGGGGGTAGGAGGGAGGGTGTGGGGTGAAGACCCACTATATTCCTAAAGATGTACCTATGAAATTTGTATTCATTAAATAAATGCTTTCTAAAAAAAAAAAAAAAAAAAGTAGACCCCAGAGTGTCTGACTCTCAGGAGAAGCAGGACTGTATCTCACAGACAGGCTGGCTGCCGGATGTGCAAGCTCCTAGAGGCTTTGGGAGGAATCTTGCCTGCGGAGCACGAACTCCAGATCACTGTGCCACCTGGTGCCAGGCGGTGTGAGGGGGGTTTGCATCTGCTTGTGGAGTTTGCTACTGGAAGTGAGCCTTGCCCAGCAGCTAGAAGGTGGACAGCTGGGCAGCACACCATCTCCTAGGCAGGAGTGGGAGCACCGCGCAGGGAATGTGGGAACAAGCCCAGCATCTGCCTTGGCGGCAGCCCAAGCTGACAGGATCCGGTTGTGGAGAGTTTCAGGCACTGGGCCCACGGTGGGAATGTACTCTGTGGTCCAGGCTGGCCTTACGCTCCTAACAGGGCCATGCTGTGCTTCAGGGCAGTGTCTAACAGAACTGAATCGGGTGGACAGAAGATGATTAGAAAAGCAAATTTAGCAACATTTGGTCTGGAAATATGATTGAAGATGGGAAAAGGATAACACTGCAAGGAGAGGCCTGTGGGAAAGAAACAGGGAATTGTGAAATACCAAAGGTGGGGCTTGGGAGAGGGGGAGTGAGTTAAGAGAGGAAGAGAAGTTAGAAAAAATGAGCCACTCAGAGAAAATGCACCGAAACATAATAAACATAATATTATGTTCAAACATAGTAAAGGCCAGGAGAGAATTTTAGTAGAGGGAACATGTGATGGGCAGATATGGTAGAGAACTGGAGAAAGGTGAGAATTAAGGTGAAGCTGGAATTAGAGGGAGAGGCAGGAAGAGGCAGGAGAAAGATGTTACCCCTGGAATGTTCTCTCTAGTGGTTAAAAAGTATATATGTCAGGGGCCAGCACTGTGGTGCAGCGGGTTAACACCCTGGCCTGAAGCGCCGGCATCCCATATGGGTGCCGGTTCTAGTCCTGGCTGCTCCTCTTCTGATCCAGCTCTCTGCTATGGCCTGGGAAAGCAGTTGAAGATGGCCCAAGTCCTTGGGCCCCTGCACCTGCACCTGCACGGGAGACCCAGAAGAGGCTCCTGGCTCCTGGCTCCTGGCTCCTGGCTCCTGGCTTCGGATCAGCACAGCTCTGGCTGTTGCGGCCATATGGGAGTGAACCAGTGGATGGAAGACCTCTCTCTCTGTTTCTACCTCTCTTTGTAACTCTTTCAAATAAATAAAATATTTTTTTAAAAAGTATATATATGTCAGAGGCAGCTCCAGACACTCAGATCTCATATCAGAGTTCTGAGATGGAATCTCACTCTGCTTCTGATCCAGCTTCCTGCTAATACACCTGAGAGACAGAAGATACCCAAGTAGTTGGGTTCTTGCCATCCATGTGGGAGACCTGGATGGAATTCCTGGCTCCTGTCTTCAGCCTAGCCCAGCCCTGGCTGCTGCATGTATTTGGGGAGTGAAGGTCAATCTTTCTCTGTCCCCTCCTCTCTCTCTATTACTGTGCCTTTCAAATTAATGAATAAATAAGTCTTTTTTAAAAATAAAAAAGTTGATTTTTTTTGAAAAAATGAATAAAATTGATACAGACTTTTAGACTCTAGACAGTGTGACAAGGGAAAAGGGGACAATACCAAGAATGAGAGGGGTGACATCACTGAAGATTCTATACACACAAAAAGGACAAGGGACTATTATAAACAATTTTATGCCAACACTTTTGACTACATATATAAAATTCACTAATTATTTGAATGATCCAACAGCACTAAAACTTACTCTAGAAGAAATATATAACCTGAATAGCCCCTGTCTCATAAAGAAATTGAATTTGAAGTATAAATCCTTCCCACACACACAAAAAAAATCCGGTCCTACATGGCTTCATTAAGAATCCTACCAAGTATTAAAAAAAGAAATAATAACAATTATATACAATAATAACAACAATTATATACAAGCTATTCAAGAAAACTGAAAATGACAGAATATATTTGTCATCTTTCTTTGATGCCAACATTACCCTGATACCAAAACTAGACAAAGACATTACAAGGCCAGCACCACAGCTCACATGGCTAATCCTCTGCCTGCGGCGCCGGCACCCCAGGTTCTAGTCCCAGTCGGGGCACCGGATTCTGCCCCGGTTGCTCCTCTTCCAGTCCAGCTCTCTGCTGTGGCCTGGGAAGGCAGTGGATGATGGCCCAGGTGCTTGGGCCCTGCGACCGCATGGAAGACCAGGAGGAAGCACCTGGCTCCTGGCTTTGGATTGGCACAGCGCGCTAGTCATGGCAGCCATTTGGGGGATGAATCAACGGAAGGAAGACCTTTTTCCCTGTCTCTCTCTCTCACTGTCTAACTCAGCCTGTCAAAAAAAAAAAAAAAAAAAAAGACATTACAGGAAAACTATAGGCCAATATTTTTCATAAACATAAGATATAAAAATTTTAGCAATTTAAATACAACATGTAGAAAGGATAATATATCATAAGTAGGGTTTATTATAAGAATGCAGGTTTGGTTTAATGATCAAAAATCAATGTGTGTAAATTACCATATTAAAAAACTAAAAATGAGAAATCTCAAAAGATGTAGAAAAGGCATTTGACAAAATCATCAGTTTTTTTAAAAAGATTTATTTATTTATTTATTTTAAAGGCAGAGTTACAGAGAGGCAGAGGCAGAGAGAGAAGGAGAGGTCTTCCATCCACTGCTTCACTCCCCAAATGGCGACACAGCGGAGCTGAGCCAATCTGAATCCAGGAGCCAGGAGCTTTTTCCGGGTCTCCTACACGGATGCAGGGGCTCAAGGACATGCCCTCCCAGGCCATAGCCTGGACTGGAACTGGCGCCCATATGGGATGCCGGCACTTCAGGCAGCAGCTTTACCCACTACAGCACAGCGCCAGCACCCATCATACACTTTAGATATAAACCCTCAGCAAACTACAAATAGAAAATAACTTCCTCAGATGGCCCAAGTACTTGGGCCCTGCCACCCACATGGAAGACCCGGGTGGAGTTTCAAGCTCCCGTCTTCATCCGGACCTAGGCCTAGATGTTGCAGACATTTGGAGAGTGAACCAGCAGATGGGAGATATCCCTCACTCTCTCTTAATCTCCCTCCCTCTCTGTAACTCTGCTTTTCAAATAAATAAATCTTTCTTTTAAAAAAAGAGCTTCAATATAATAAATGATGTCTACCAAAAACAATACCCAATACCATATTTAATGATGAACGACTGAATGTTCTACCTCAAGATTGAAAAAGACAAGGATTTCTACTAAACATTCTACTGTAGTTCCAACCAATGCCACAAGTTAGGAAAAGGGAAAAAGAGCATACAGATTGTAAAGGAAAAAGTACGGTTGTCTTAATTTACAGTGTGATCACATATGTAGAAAATATGGTAGTATGTACCAGAAAAAGAACTAATAAGTGATTTTAGGAAAGCTGCAGGGTGTAAGATCAACATTCAGAAATTAATTGTATTTTTATATATGAATAACAATCAGAATTAAAATAAGGGGAACAAAACCCACTAACAATAGCATCAAAAATGAAATACTTCAGAATAAACCTGTCAAAAGTGTTGAAAATATGCAAAATACTGCAAAGAACTAAAAAACATTGCTGAGAGGAACTAAGGAAGACCTAAATAAATGTAAAAATACATAATGTTCATGTATCAAAATACTAAGTGCTGCTTGAAGATGTCAGTTCTCCCCAAGTTTATCTATAGATTCACTCTAACATCAATCAAAACCCCAACTGACTTTTTTGTAGAAATTGACAAATGGATCTGAAACTTCATATGGAAATGCATTCTGCCCAGGATAGCCAAAACAAAAGCAACATCAGAGATCTCAGAGTACCTGACTTCAAGCCTTATGACAAAGCTACTCTCATCAAAAGTGTGCTATTCACCTAAGCAGAGACAGCCAGATCAACGAGGAAAGTAGAGAGGCCAGAAATAGACTCACACTCATCTGAATATCTGATTTTTGGCAAAAAGTTAAAGGAAATTCAGAGAATAAACAAATGGTGCTGACCAATCCAATATCCAGTCTACCTGGCCACTTTCTGTTACTATAACAAAATACCTGAGACTGGGTATTTATAGAGAAAAGAGTTTTATTTAGCTCACAGTTTTGAAGGATGAAAGTGCAGATGGCATATGCCTGGCTCCTGCAAGGGCCTCCCTGGCTGCACCAAGTCTTGCCAGATGGGTTTGAGAAGAAATGACTGGTGAGGTGGGAAGTCAGGGTGGGTACTGCCTGTTGCCGTGCACTGGGACCCACCTCTTAGAGGTACCATCACCTCTTAACGCTGCCACACTAAGGACCAAGCTGTCAACATAAGAACCTTTGCAGAACATACCACATCCAAACCACAGTACATACAAACACAAATGAACTTCACCCCAAACCTCAGAGTATGTTCACAAAAATTAACTCAGGATGGATCATAGACTTTACTGTAAAATCTAAGTCTAAATAATTTCCAGAATAAAAAAATAGGAGAAAATCTTGGTGACCTAGGTTAGCCAAAACTTTCTCACACATGACAGCAAAAGCATGTTCTGTTAAACAAACAAAAAACTGATAATACTTCATCAAAATTTAAAGCTTCAGGTCTTCAAAAACACAGTTAAGAGAAAGAAAAGTAAAGCCACAATGTATGTGCTAAGTGTATATCTGATAATAGACTTAGGTTCAGAATGGGCAAAGGATTTGTACAAACATTTCACCAAGGATTCTACAGATGGCATACATGGAAGTGAAAAAAAAAAGTACAATCATTAGTCATTAGGAAAATGTAAATTGAAGCCACAGTGACTTACACAGTGAGCTAGTAAAGGATATAGAGGAACTGAAACTCTCATACGCTGCTAATGGGAATAGAAAAATACCACTAGAAGTCTGGAAAAAAAGCAGTGTGGCAGTTTTGTAAAATGTTAAACACATACCCACCATGAGAGAGGAAAAAAAGCGTATGCCCTTGAAAAACTTCTACATGAATGTTCACAGCAGTTTCATTTTTAACAGTAAAAACCTGGAAAAAAATCCAAATGCCTGTCAACTGGTGAATGGCCAAATTGTGGTAGATACATACAGTGGAATATTATGTGACAGGAAAAAGGAATGAGCTAATGATGCATACAGCAACATAGATAAATCTCAACATAATATTGCTCAGTCAAAGAAGCATGACAAAAAAAGTGCATTTTGTGTTATTCCACTTGAATCAATCTGCAGAAAATGCAAACTAACAGAATGCAGCCCAGTAGTGGCGGGAGGAGGATTACCAAAGGGCAGGAGAAAATGCTCGGGTTAATAGATGTGTTCACTATTTTGATTGTGGTAATGATTTTACAACTACATTCATATGACAAAATTTACCAAACTATAGACTTCAAATATTTGTTTTCATATGACAAAATTTACCAAACTATAGACTTCAAATATTTGTTTCTTTGTTTATCAGCTACACCTCCATGAAGATGTATGTTTGCTTTTTTGAAGTATCTGCACTCCTCATTTGGAAGGGCCTGACCCAAACAAGTTTCCATCTCTTTCCCTTGTAGGTCTATTACGGTCTCGCTCACAGATCTTAAGACCTCACATGCCCCAAGAGGGTCTGGGGCCAGCACTGGCCTCTTTCTCCATGTGAGCCTCAGCCATTCTCATTGCCCAAAAGATAAACACTGGAATGTATTCCTTGCCCTTGAATCCCAATTGGGTCTCACACCCTATTGCTTCATACCGCCCACCCCCCACCCCCACCCCACGCCATGGCCACCTGAAAGACCAGTCCCAGGAATTCCCCTCTGCGTGCCGCCCCCTACCCTGGCCTCCAGCCCCAGCCCTCCAAAGATATAAGAAGGCACAGCCCCTGGGGGTCGGGGCCTTCTGCCATGTGTTCCATCAGCGTGCACGCCGGTAGCTGGTCACCCACCTCTCCGGATTTATTTTCTCTGAATAAATTCGGTCTGGCTGTAAATTCACACACTGCCTCCTCTCTATTCTGCGCCTCTTGCTAACATTCTGCCCATCACTTTAGCCACTCACCATTTTCTCAAGCCCACCTTTTTGTGGGACATCCTAACCCAAGTCACACACCTCCCTGGTCTCAATCCTTCCCCCAACTCCTCCTCATTTCCCAAGGTATTTCCAAGGGTACAGCAACATCTTTCCCTACCCTAAGTCTCTCCCTCCCCTACTTCCAGTCCTTCTCATCCTGAACCCATAGCCACTAGGAGCAGGCTGTAGGGCAAACTTTTTAGAAACAGACCTCCAGCCCTTTCTGAATCACAGAGTGGATGAAAAGCCAGCTTCCAGGCAATTCAAGCCTTATTCCCCGCGCACCACCCATTTGTAGGGCAGCGGTTCTTGCAGTGTGGCTCAGCATCACGAGAGCCTGGGCTTCCAGCCCGGACCCACGGAGTCACAAACTCTGCGAGTGGGCCCCGCGGTCGGTATTTTGACAAGGCCTGCAGGTGATCCTCCGGTGTGCCACTCTGGGGGGCAGAGAGGGGGTTAAAGGACAGGAAGAAAGTTAGAAGCACACCTGCGAATCTTATTAAGACATAGGGGGAGGCGTCTTTTAAAAAGACAAAAAATGAAGAACTCATTATATGGTCCGAAAACCTACCGTGCCGCAGAGCGCTTTCCTGAAAGATTCCCACATTCACCTCAAGAACCGGCTGCGAGCAGGTCCCTCGCTAAGGCTCTGCTGGGAGCAGCTCAGCGGGTGCTAAGGGGTTAATACCCCGCGGCCTCCCCTCCCCCCTCCCTACCCCACACGCCCCGCGCATGCGCAGAGACTGGCCATAGAGCTGAGCGATCCTCCCGCATTCCTAGAGAGGACAGGGCCATGGCTGGAGAGCCGTGTGTGAGGTTTGACAGCCATCCGGAGACCATGTCGAGGTACGGGTGATGGGGGGTCGCGGAAGGCGAGGGACTCGCGAGTGAACTTGCCTGGCAAGCGGCCTGGCATCGCCGCCTGGAAGCCGTTTGCGTGGGAGAGTCGAGGCCGCGGAGAGCCGGCCAGGGCCAGTTCTTAGCCCAGTGCGCCCTAGCCGGGCTGCGGGTGCAGCTGAATGGAGGCCGGAAGCTTTGCTGGGGAGACAGGTGGCGGTATTGGATGAGTCTGCGCGAATCAGCGGGCAGCCTGAATTTGTGAATGTTGGGAGAAGCGAAGGTGTCATTTTTGTATAGAAAAGGCAGCAAGTAACGGTATGAACCCCGAGGACGAATGCGAAACTGTCGTCCCATGGTTCTTTCCAGTTACACCCGTGTCTGGATGGCAGGAGCCCCGGTCGCTGGCCGTGGAGTGGGGGCGATAATGGCTGACTCCCTGGATGATGGGGCGGAAGCCCTTTGAGGTTAAACGAGATGTTTGTTTTCGTTTAAATCTAGAGGATGTCTCTGGAGGCCCGGTCTGGGAAGTCACGTCTCTAGCCTGCAAAATGACTCCCTGCCAAGCCCAGGGGTGCCCGGGGGCCTCCGGGTCTCGGACCCTTAGGTGGACAAGGAAAGCTTCCGGAAGACATGGTACTCCATCTGTTCCCTGAGGCGTCCAGCAGCCGCCCATGGAGATCCAGTTCAGTTATGAACCTCAAGGACACCGGCCTCCGGCAGGTGAGGAGCAGTATGCCGCTCGCCAGGGTGGGGTGTCACCCCATGCTGGCGTCAGGGTGCTTCACGGCCTCACCCTCGGCCCTGCTGGGCGACGCCATTTCTCCAGTGCTCCCAGCATCGTGCCGTGGCTGTATTCACATTCTAGCGATCACATACCCAGACAGTTCTCTCTTTTTGAGGCCCCGGACGTACCCACTTTCCCCTTTCCGATCTCTTTATCCCCGGTCTGAAGGTGTTTGGTAAAATCTTTTCAAGTCGTCTTTCTAGTCTACTACAGGGGGCATGGTTCAAAGTTTTGGATTCTGACAACCTGAGTTCGAATACTAGCTTTGTCGCTAGCTTAAGTAACTCAGAACTTTGCGGTTCTTTGTCCTCATGTTATAAGTATATGCTAATCCATACCCTGGTGGTTATTTTGAGAATTATGTCTATGACTCCAGAATAATGGAACCCAAACTTAGTGATTGAAAACATCTGGCTTTTTTTTTTTTTTTTTAAGATTATTGAGAGGCAGAGTTAGAGAGAGAACAAGAGAGAGAGGTCTTCCATCCAGTGGTTCACTCCCAAAATGGTCACAATGTCCAGAGCTGGGCTGATCTGAAGCCAGGAGCCAGGGGCTTCTTCCAGGTCTCCCACATGGGTGCAGGGGCCCACACACTTGGGCCATCTTCCGCTGCTTTCCCAGGCCATTAGCAGGGAGCTGGGTCAGAAGAGGAGCAGCTGGGACATGCACCAGTGCCCATCTGGGATGCTGGAACAGCCAGGATTTCAACCGGTGCCCACATGGGATGCCAGTGCCACAAGCAGAAGCTTAATCTTGTATGCTGCAGCACCAATCCCAACATCTGACTTTTTTTTTTTTTTAAGATTTTATTTTATTTTTTTGAAAGAGGAGAGAGGTCTTCCATCTACTGGTTCACTCCCCAGATGGCTGCCAACAGCTGGAGCTTCACCAACCCGAAGCCAGGAGCCAGGAGCCTCTTCCGAGTCTCCCACATGGGTGCAGGGGCCCAAGGACTTGGGACATCCTCTGCTGCTTTCCCATACACATCAGCAGAGAGCTGCATCAACAGTAGGGCAGCCAGGACTCAAACCAGCACCCATATGGGATGCCATTGCTGTGGGCCAGGGCTTTAACCCACTGCACCACAGTGCCGGCCCTGTACATCTGACATTTTTAGATCATATTCTTATAGTTCTGTAGGTCATTGGCTTGAGCTGGTTTTGTTTAGGCGGATTTGTTTCTCGTGATCTTATCTGGGGTCATTTATTCAGTCAGTGAGTAGCTTTCCTGGGACCAAGGTCTAAGTTTCAATCATATGCCTGACAGTGCTGTCTATGGCTTTGGTACTGCATCTCCTAGCAATCTAGGCTGGACTTTTTCATAGGGAAGCCAGTTTCCAAAATCAGAGAGGACAGTTTCTCTGATACATAAGCACTTTTCACACTCATGTTTTTGTTACATCTGTTAGTGTCTCCGTGACCAAAGCAAGTCACATGACCAGTTCCAGAGTCATTGTTGGAGACTGCGCAGATACATAAAGGTACTTCAAAAAGTTCTTGGAGAGACAGAATTAAAAGGTAAAGAACAGGCGTTTGGCCCAGCCCCAGCCATTGTGGGCATTTTGGGAGTGAATCGGCAGGTGGGAGTTTTCTCTCTCTCTCCCTCTCTCCCTTCCTCTGAAATAAAGAGTTACAAATTTTAACAGGGAATAGACTTACTTTTAGTTAGACTGTAGAACACCTTTGAATTCTTAGACACTCCTGATGGAAGTGTGAATTGGTTCAACAACTTTGGAAGTATCTAGTTGAAGACCCAAATATAAATTAGATTCTAAGTTTATATAACCCAGAGAAACACTTGCACATTTGTTTTTAAAGATTTATTTATTAATTTGAAAGACAGAGTTACACAGAGAGAGGAGAGACAGAGAAATAGAGAGTTCTTCCAACCGAAGGTTCACTCCCCAATTGACCGTGATGGCCAGAGCTGCGCCAATCCAAAGCCAGGAGCCAGGAGCTTCTTCTGGGTCTCCCACGTGGGTGCAGGGGCCCAAGGACTTGGGCCATCCTCCACTGCTATCCCAGGCCACAGCAGAGAGCTGGATCGCCAGAGGAGCAGCCAGGACTAGAACCGGTGCCCATATGGGATGCCAGTGATTCAGGCCAGGGTGTTAACCCGCTGCACCACAGCGCCAGCCCAACACTTGCATATTTGTACCAAGATAATGTGCAAGCATACTCATACCAGCACTGTTTTGTTGACTGCAGGAGAACAGGTAAATGTGTTGTGGTTTATGTCACATTGTAGTAGTGAATATTGGACAGACTACAATAGAAACAAAGTTGAGCAAAAAATGCAGTTCACAAAATACATGTGGTGTAATTCCACAAATACATAAGGTTCAGAAATATCCTGCATTGGACTACCAGAACAAAATACCACAAACTGGTGGCTTAAACAGCAGAAATCTATGTTCTTAGGGTCTGGCAGCTGGAAGTCCAACACTGAGGGCACAGCAAGGTTGGTTTCTCCTGAGGCCTCTCCCCAGCTTGCGCATGGCCACCTTTTCTCCGTGTGCATGCATCCCCCGGTGTCTTCCTCTGCAGGTCCCATGGATTAGGGCCCCACCCTGTGACTTCCTTTAACTCCCTCCTTAAAGGACCTATCTTTAAATACAGTCACATCAGGGGATGGGCTTCCAGAAATTAACTGGGGGGAGAGGCCCAACTCAGTTTTGTTATAAACCAAACAGCATTTTGTTAAAAATACAGACATTTGGTAAAATCATGAAGACAAGCCAGAGAAGTGAAATACAGAATTCAGCATGTAATGACGAGGTTAGCTGGAGAAGGGATCGGGGAGAGCAGGACCAGGGAAGCACACGCAGCGGGGCTGTAGGCTGTGGGAAATATTCTGCTAATGTTTCTCTTGTCAAGCTGAATGGAAGGTTCAGTTTCATTTGTCACATTATTATTATTCATTTCTTTACATATATACTTTTTTCTGTGTATAAAATATTTAAAACACAGAGACTTTAGGAATTACATAAAGTTTTTCAAACAGAATTAGTATGAGGAGAAATGAAGCAACAGAGTTTATTTGTATTGTTCAAGTCTAATGCATTCTTACTGGTTTTTGTTAAGTCTAATTCAGTGAGACATAATGTACAGACAATAAAGTAGACCCCCTTTTAATTATGTTTTTAGATGAGTTTTGACATATTTGTACACCCATGTCCACTACCTTCACAATCAAAACAAAAACCCTTTATGTCAACGTGCCCCCTAAAAATTTCCTTATACTGGCCGGCGCCACTGCTCACTAGGCTAATCCTCCGCCTTGCGGCGCCGGCACACCGGGTTCTAGTCCCGGTCGGGGCGCCAGATTCTGTCCTGGTTGCCCCTCTTCCAGGCCAGCTCTCTGCTGTGGCCAGGGAGTGCAGTGGAGGATGGCCCAAGTGCTTGGGCCCTGCACCCCATGGGAGACCAGGATAAGTACCTGGCTCCTGCCATCGGATCAGCGCGGTGCGCCGGCCGCAGCGCGCTGGCCGTGGCGGCCATTGGAGGGTGAACCAACGGCAAAGGAAGACCTTTCTCTCTGTCTCTCTCTCTCACTGTCCACTCTGCCTGTCAAAAAAAAAAAAAATTTCCTTATACTCCAATCCTAGTCCCTCCTCAGTCCTATGCAACCACTGGTTCACTTTCTGCCACTTTGGAGAGAAATTATTTTTATTGTTATATTCCTTGGTGAAATTTTCCCCAGGTTTATTAAGGCACAATTGAAATGATATACATAAAGGAAATATATACATTCAAACCGTACAATATGATGATTTGATATATATATATACACATTGTGAAATTAATGCATCTATCACCACAGCATGAATTTTTATTCATGCATATTGTTATTTCATCAGTAATTCTGAGTAGTATTCCATTATATCATAATTTGTTTATTGATTTACCTGTTGATATTTGGATTACTTAGATTTTTACTATTTATTAATAAGCCACCCTGAACATTTGTGTGTAAGTCTGTGTGAATGTATGTTTTCACTTTTCTTGGGCAAATACCTAGAAATAATTATTTGGTAAAATCATGTTTAACTTTATGAAAAACTGCAGGAATTTCCAAAGTAGTTGTAACATTTTGCCTTTCCGTCAGCAGTGTATGAGAGTCCCAGTTGTTCCACATTCTTATCAACCTTTTGTTAAGGTTTTTATTTATTTTCATTTTATTTGAAAGAGAGACAGAGAAAGAGACAAACAGATGGAGAGAGATCTTCAGTCTACTGGTTCCATCTACAAAAGCCCACAACAGTCAGGGCTGGGCAAGGCCGAAGCCAGATGCCCACAACTCATTCAGTGTCTCCCATATGAGTGGAAGGGACCCAAGTATTTGGGCCATTGTCTGCTGCTTCCCACATTGCATATTAACAGGAAACTAGATCAGAAGTGGAATAGCCAGGACTCGAACCAGGCACTCTGGTTTGAGATGCAGACATCCCTAGTGGATGCTTAATGCTGTGCCACATGGCTATCAGTCTTTAACCATTTACTATGCTACTTGTGTGTATTGTCAAACATTTTACTTTTAGCCATGCTAGTGCCATGTGATTTAATTTGCATTTCCTGATTACTGGCAGTCTGGCAGTTTTGAGTGCTTTGTCATGTGCTTATTGACTATTCATCAAACTTGTAATTGTGTATTCTAATACTTTCTTCTTTTTATTGAGTTGTGTTTCTAATTTCTAAAAGTTCTTTATATATTCCAGATATATGTCCATTGTCAGATACATGAATGTTCTTTTCTTAGTAATGCCTTGAGGAAAAAGTCATGGTTCATTTTTGTTATCATGATACACAATTCCAACAGTTTTATTGAAAAAAAGTTGTCTTTTGCTGCTAAATTGGCACCTTTGCTGAACAAGTGTACATGCATTTCTGGATTCTGTTCTGTTGTAGTAGTAAATTATCTTTATAGCAGTACCACACCGCCTCGAAACTATAGCTTTGTAGTAAAGCTTGAAATCAGGTAGTGAAACTTCTCCAACTTTGTTATTCTTTTCCAAAATGTTTTAGACTCTTCTGTGCCATTCTGTATAAAGTTTAGAATCAGTTTGTGTCCCATCTTATTACATTGATAGAAATGTTGAATAGAGTGATAAAAGCAGGCATCTTTGCCTTGCTTCTGTGTTCCTAGGAGAAAAGCATTCAGCATTTAACCATTAGGTTTTCCTTGCTTTTCTAATTTAAAAAAAAAAAATGTATTTTGTTTGAAAGGAAGAGAGTCAGACAAACAGACCTTCTGCCCACTGGTTCACTTCCAAAATGCCTGCAACAGCCAGAATTGGGGCAGGCTGAAGCAAAGAGCTAGGAACTCAATCTAGGTCTTCCACATGGGTGGCAGAGATGCAACTATTCGAGCCATCACCTGTTAACTCCTAGGATGTTCATTTGCAGGAAGCTAGAATTGGGAGAACTGGAATTTGAACCCAGGCACACTGTTTTAGGCCCCTGCCACCCACATAGGAGACCTGGATGAAGCTGCTGGCTCCTGGCTTTGGCCTGGCGCAGCCCTGGCTGTTGCAGCCATTTGGGGAATTAACTAGTGGATGGAAGATCTCTCTTCCCTCCCTCCTCCCCTCTTTCCCTCTCTCTCTCTCCTTCCCTCCCTCTCCCCCCCACTCCATCCCTCCCTCTCTGTAACTCTAGCAAATAAATAAATCTTAAGAACAAAATAGGAAGTATGGGAGTCTTACAGGCTCTTTAACAAGATTTGACACATGTCCATGGTAATCAGTGGCAAGCATGTTAACCAAATTATATGGTCACCTGAACAATGTATGTTTGTTTCTCTACTTCTTTGTATGTTGATGCGTAAGAATTTGGGAAATGGTTGCAGGCCAAATCCAAGAAACATGTTCAGACAGCTTTCCAAAGTGTGCCCTGATTGTTACTAACTCCCCTGCAAGGGAACTTCATACCAATTTAGTGAACAGCCTCAGGTTCATCCCACTGTAAGAACTAGTAATTAAGATTCATCTTGGATAGACAGAAGTTTCCACTTCCTTTCTGATACAGTTGCAGAAACATGTACCTTCAATGAGCATAGAGATTGAAAACAGCTGTTTATCTTACTCCTCAGCCCTCTGATCTGTGATGCCACCCTTAGATCCATTTGGAGATGATAACAGAATAGAGGAACTCTGGGAGAAAGACTTTTCAGGCAGAAAACAACTGTGGATAACCATGGAAGAAGCTTTAACTAGCATTCAAGCTCTTCTTGTTCCAGACTGAATATATAGTGCTGTTGAAAATGAACAACTTAGGGCCAGCGCCGTGGCTCAATAGGCTAATCTTCCTTCTGTGGTGCCAGCACACCGGGTTCTAGTCCCGGTCGGGGAGCCGGATTCTGTCCCAGTTGCCCCTCTTCCAGGCCAGCTCTCTGCTGTGGCCCAGGAGTGTAGTGGAGGATGGCCCAAGTGCTTGGTCCCTGCACCCCATGGGAGACCAGGAGAAGCACCTGGCTCCTGGCTTCAGATCAGCTCAGTGCGCCAGTTGCCACGCGCTGGCTGCGGTGGCCATTGGAAAGCGGACCAACGGCAAAGGAAGACCTTTCTCTGTGTGTGTGTCTCTCTCTCACTGTCCACTCTGCCTGTCAAAAAAAAAAAGAAAAGAAAAGAAAAGAAAATGAACAACTTAAGATGGAAGAATTAGATAAATTCTCAAGAATCAGTTCGGTCACATTGGAAAGTCCCTTAGCCTTATGTTGAAAGCAAGCAAGAATTTAAGAGATGCTAGCTTGAGAGCAGAGTAGCACATGCTACCTTAAAAGAAGTCACCTCTTATCAAAAGATAATGCTGTGGTACATCTCTCTCAAGTTCCTTGAAATCAAGTGACTACCGGGTTGGCCATCCCCTGTCAGTTCTGGTCATAGTTTGAGCATACCATCTAGCTCCTATACGTCCCATACAAAACACCTATCAACATGTCCAGAGGTATTCCTTCCAGAAAAAGAGGATGAATTTTTGCGTCTTTACCATAATCTTATAACCAGTTTTCAGAGCCATATGTGTTATCAGGCTGTGCTCTTGTGCTTAATACTACAAATTGTAAACCAAGAAATCAGGTTAAAACGATTTGTAAACCAAGAAATTAAGTTAAAATAAAAACAAAGATTGCAGGTCCAGAATAGATTTGCAAACCAGGAGACACAGGTTTAGTTAGAAGATAAACAGATGTTCTGGCAAGGGAAGGCAGACTATGTTTTTAAAGGGAAAGGGGGAACAGTGAGGTGAGGTGAAATAACTTGTCCCGAACAGTTTTCAGCTGGCCCTGTTAGTTGCACAAAGTGTTTTGGATGAATTGAGATTGGTGCTGAAGGTCTGTTCAGACATTTAGCTATATACAGGATTGGTTGTGAGGGGATAATGAGGGAGTTACCAGGAAGCAATAAGTCTTTTGAAAAGTCCCAGGATTGAAAACGGTCACAATCTGGGGTCTTGCAAGCACATTCTTTCCAAACTACATTCCTTATCTGGAAGTTACAGGTTGAGGGGTTTTATGACTCTGAAGTAAACCATAGCCTGTGAAACATGATTTCTGAGGCTTACAAACTTTTCTCTCTTGACCCAACTACAGCCATATTAATTTTTACTTCAACATCATATACAAATATAGATATCATATTCTTTTTTTTTTAATTTGACAAGTAGAGTTTTTTAGACAGTGAGAGAGAGAGACAGAGAGAAAGGTCTTCCTTCTGTTGGTTCACTCCCCAAATGGCCGACATGGCTGGCGCTGTACTGATCTGAAGCCAGGAGCCAGGTGCTTCTTCCTGGTCTCCCATGTGGGTGCAGGGCCCACGCACTTGGGCCATCCTCCACTGCCCTCCCAGGTCACAGCAGAGAGCTGGACTGGAAGAGGAGCAACCAGGACCAGAACCTGGTGCCCATATAGGATTCCGGCGCTACAGGCGGAGGATTAACCAAGTGAGCCACGGCTTCAACCCCAGTATCATATTCTTTCTTTTTTCTTTTCTTTGTTTTGTTTTTGGTTTGGTTTGGTTTTGTTTTGTTTTGTTTTTGACAGGCAGAGTTAGAGAGAGAGACAGAGAGAAAGGTCTTCCTTCCATTGGTTCACCCCCCAAATGGCTGCTACGGCTGGCACGCTGTGCCGATCTGAAGCCAGGAGCCAGGTGCTTCCTCCTGGTCTCCCATGCAGGTGGCAGGGCCCAAGGACTTGGGTCATCCTCCACTGCACTCCTGGGCCACAGCAGAAAGCTGGACTGGAAGAGGAGCAACTGGGACAGAACCAACACCACAGGCAAAGGATTAGCCCAGTGAGCCTCGGCACCAGCCAATATTCTTTAATTCAACAATTTTACTGTGAATCATTCGTTTTTTGAAAATAGCTAATAAAACATTGGTGATAAAATAGTCAAGCAGTACTAAAGTATATGCAATAAATTTTCTCAGAATTCCTTTTACCTCTGGCCAGCTGACTCACATTTTTTCCCAATGTAATCAACCATTTTCCTGCATATTTTATGGAAATTAGGATAGCCCATTTATGGATAGTAGGATAGCCCTCCATATGGGTGAGAATATAAGCCATAATATCCAGAGTAGAGTGTTAAGTTTGTAACTTTTTTGGAAGCCTAAGTATGTTTTCATACAATAAATTCAAATAGTTATATAAAAACTCAGTATTAAGTGGTTGCTATACTTAGGCAGTGGCATCATTCCTGTTTATGATTTTATTGTATAAGTACTTGGAACACAGTATGTGCTCCATTGATATGTTAACAATAAGTTTAGTACCACTTAAAATTGATAGAGAAGATGGAAACTAACAGAAACATTGTATTTTCCTTTTGTTTCTTTTTTTTTTTTCTATTAATACCATAATATTAGCCCAAGTAGCTGGACAGTTCTAAATAAAGCCCAAATTCTTTTCCTTTTTTAGACTCTTTCAAACTGCTTACCTTGTGTATTTTAATAAATTGCTTTTGTAGAAGCTCTTAATTTAGCCACACTTTCCAAATCACAGGATTACTTTTCATTATTCCCAAATCTTCTGTGGCAAACAGAAATGGTTAATGGGATCCATTACTTGTTTTCCTCACAGGCAATTTCCAGTGTTTTGGAGCACTTCCATATTGTGATGGCGTTTTATAGGTACATACTGATGTTTTACCTGAAGCTTTCTTGCAGTATGGAGACCACATTCCATTTGAATTTTGTTTATTGTTCCAGATGGTGAGACTCAGACCAGGATTGGAGAGGCAGCTTCAGAAAAGGAAATCACAGTGAAAATCGAAGGATTTGGAGACTCTAAAGAGGATGTTCTCCAGGATTCTGAAGACAGAGAATTCTGTGAATTTGGGGATAAGTTAAATGAAAAGGATCGGAACCTCATTGAAGGAAGACAATACAGCTGTGAAGAGTGTGGACAAGGCTTTTCCTGGAGTACAGGCCTTATTAGGCATCAAAGAACCCATTGGGAGAAACCCTATGAGTGTGATAAATGTGGAAAGGCCTTCCGTGTGAGCTCAGCCCTGGTTCTGCATCAGAGAATTCATACTGGGGAGAAACCCTATCCTTGTAGCTGGTGTATTAAAAGTTTCAGTCGGAGCTCAGATCTTATTAAACATCAAAGAGTCCACACTGGTGAAAAACCTTATAAATGTGATGAATGTGGGAAAGCCTTCAGTCAGAGCTCAGATCTTGTTATACATCAGAGAATCCATACAGGAGAAAAACCCTATCAGTGCAGTTATTGTAGTAAAAGTTTTAGCCAGCGCTCTGACCTGGTTAAACATCAGCGAATCCACACTGGAGAGAAACCTTACACATGTAACCAGTGTAACAAACATTTTAGTCAGAGTTCTGATGTTATAAAACATCAGAGAATCCACACTGGGGAGAAACCATACAAATGTGATGTGTGTGGGAAAGCCTTTAGTCAGAGCTCAGATCTTATTCTACATCAGAGAATCCACACTGGAGAGAAACCTTATCCATGTCATCAGTGTAGCAAAAGTTTCAGTCAAAACTCAGACCTTATTAAACATCGAAGAATCCACACTGGAGAGAAACCCTATAAATGCAACGAATGTGGGAAAGCTTTTAATCAGAGCTCAGTCCTTATTCTACATCAGCGAATTCACACTGGAGAGAAACCTTACCCATGTAATCAATGTAGCAAGACGTTCAGTAGGCTTTCAGATCTTATTAATCACCAGCGAATTCACACTGGAGAGAAGCCTTACCCATGTAGTCAGTGCAGTAAAATGTTTAGTAGAAGATCAGATCTTGTTAAACATCATAGAATTCATACAGGTGAGAAGCCCTATGAATGTGATGAGTGTGGGAAAACCTTTAGTCAGAGTTCCAATCTTATTCTACATCAGAGAATCCACACTGGAGAGAAACCTTATCCGTGCAGTCATTGTAATAAAAGCTTTAGTCGCCGCTCAGATCTTGTTAAGCATCAAAGAATACACACTGGAGAGAAACCATATACATGTCAACAGTGCAATAAAAGTTTTAGCCAAAGCTCAGACCTCACCAAACATCAGCGAGTGCACTCTGGTGAAAAGCCCTATCACTGTAGCAGTTGTGAGAAAGCCTTCAGTCAGAGTTCTGACCTTATCCTTCATCAGAGAATTCATACTGGAGAAAAACCGTATCCGTGCACGCAGTGCAGCAAAAGTTTCAGTCAGAACTCAGACCTTATCAAACACCAGAGAATCCACACTGGGGAAAAACCATATAAGTGTACTGAATGTGGAAGGGCTTTCAGCCAGTGCTCAGCTCTGATCCTACATCAGAGAATCCACACTGGGGAGAAGCCATATGCATGCGGTCACTGTGACAAAAGCTATAGTCGGCGCTCTGATCTCATTAACCACCAAAGAACCCACACTGGTGAAGAGCCATATAAATATGATGCATATGGGAATGCCTTCAGTGCGTGCACAGAACTTACTGAACACAAAATCCACACCCTGCCAGTGTATCCAGAGCAGCAGAAGTTTTAGCCAATCTTCTAATATTAATCATCAGTCCATTCTGGTGAAGACAGCCTAAATACGATGAATGTGGGAAAACCTGTTGTGTATACACCAACTTTATTTAGTACTGGAGAAGTAATACCAGAAAAAAAAATCTTAAAAATGCCATTGATGAGTACAAAAAAGGTTTCAATCAGTATTCAGCTCTTACTTTATGTTTTAAAAAATAACCCACACTGGGGAGAAAACAGTACTTCAGTTTTTATCATGCAAGTTTACCTTGGAGCCAGACATTACTAAAATTAAGAAAAAATCTGGATATGGGCATCTGGTGTAATGGTTAAGTTGCCACTTGAGACACCTGTATGCCATGTAGGAGTGCCTGGGTTCAAGTCCTGGCTCTGCTTCCAATTTCTAGCTTCCTGCTAAAGAACACTTGGGGAGGCAGAAAGTGATGGCTCTTGGATCTATTTTGAGTTCCTAGCTTTGGCCTGGTCTAGCCATGGCTGTTGGGAGGATTTGGGGAGTGAACCAGTAGATGGGAAATTTCTCCCTCTCTCTCTCTTTCTCTCTCTCTCTCTCTGCCTTTCAAATAAATAATTTTTTAAATGTGATGAGGAGTCCTATAAGTCATGAGAAAACTTTTGATGTGATTTAAATTTTGACTGTATGTCAGCAACAACAGAAGTTGCTGTCTTTGCTATAATGTAAGAATATCTCTAGTCTTATTTAGATATAATCTAACAGTAGAGTTGTATCACTGGAAGAAATGTATAACAATATTAATGCAGAATGTATCAGGTGTTACAAAAGCCAGTGTGGAGAAGTGGTCAGTCAGAAAGCAATGTATTAGTATTAGGATTCCAAGCTTTGGTGACCCTAAATTACCAATTGCGTAACAAAATTTATTTTAGAGACTGTAAGGAAAACTTAAATACCCTGTTTTTCTTAACTGACACATACAATGACATCACACTTATCCCCTGACAACTGCAGAGACTTATTTAATACTAATGCTTGATGTCTATCTTTAAATTCCTTGTATGTGAATATACTGTGCTATTCTGGTATAAAACTTATTAACTAGATGGCTCCAGTGCCTTTTTTCTCATTTTTTTTTTCTAGTTTTGGTCTTCTTGGTGAGCGTGAGCTTAAGCAAGTTCCTGTAATGTTTATGGATTTATTTTCCTCTTAATAATGCAGCCTATAGACATTATTGGCTTGAAATCACCTCTCACAGCATTTAATCACAGCTTCTTTAAATGTAAAACAATTTTAAAAAGAAATGTCCTTATTGTCAAAGTGTAAAGATTTTTCTATTTTTTCATGTATAAGTTGAACAAAAATCATAGGTGTAATATGAATTATATATACAGTCATCCCCCCTTCTCCATGAGAGAATATGTTCCAGGACCCCTAGTATATGCCTGAAACCACAGATAGTACCAAATTCTGTAAATTAATGCCTTACCCATCTTAAATAAGGACTTTTCATGCAGTGTGGACATTACTTGCAGTTTGAAGTATGACAGCAAAACTAACATGAATTTTCATTTCCTTCTTTACTTTCATGGAGAGATGATTCATCCTTACTGTACATCTTAACAACCTCAGCATATGATTTTCTTTTTTTCTTTCTTTATTAAGTCAAAAACCTTTGCCTTTTTACTTAAAGGAAGCACCTTTCAGGTTCTCTTGCATATGTGAATTTCCAGCATATTATCCTTGTACGTGGGGGCCATCATTAAATAAAATCTACAAGGATTACTTGAGCAAAAACACTGCAGTACTATTAACAGTCAATCTAATAATAACCCATACTGCTACTAACAGACTAATGGGAAGGTAGTATATACAGTGTGGATATGGTGGACAAAGGGAAGATTCATGTCCTTGGCAGAACAGGATGACCTGAGATTTCATCGCACTACTCAGAATGGCACATAATTTAAAACAAAATGTGTACTTATGGAATTTTCCATTAACTATTTTCAGATCCTGTTACAAAACCGCAGTAAGGAGTGGATTGAGGCATTTTACCTTCATCTATTGGCACAGAACTAAAACCCTTGAAATTTCCCTACTGTAGTGATAGAGCAATTAAGATGAAGGGAATGTATTTTGTTATTAATAGCAAGTCCCTTTCAACCATACCAAAGTTCTTTTTAATAGGTGACTTTTGAACTGAGTTCTCAGAGGATCACAAGAGGGGACTGGTTGCCAGGGGAACCACCTGTGTGATAGAAGTTTAGAACCTCAGCTCTCCTCAATCCATTTTGACCTCCAGGAGGGGAGGGTATTGGAAGATTGAGTCAGTCACGAATGACCAAGCATGCCTATGTAATGTAACCTCCCTAAAATCCAAAAAGATTGTGCAGCTTTCAGATACGCGAAAATGGAGATTCCTGGAGGGTGGCATGCCTCTAGAGGGCATAGACGTTCTGCAGCCCTTCCCACATGCCGTGCCTAAGCATCTCTTCATTGGTATCCTTTGTAATAAATGAGGCACAAAGGAAAACTATGATGTATACAACATTGAAAGAGCCTTTCAAAATGACTCCAGTATTGCTCTGATACCAGACAGACCTTGCAAGAAAAGAAACAACAAATAATATCCTTTATGAATATATGTAAAAGTCTTCAACAAAATACTAGCTAACTGAATCCAACAACATGAAAAGGATTACATTCTGACCAATTATTGCGGCTCAACCCATGAGGCCCCCACACTGCTGGGATGGTGAGGCGATGGTGTTCTTCGGCAAGAAGCACTGGAGACAAGTTTCAGTGAATATGTCTGCTTTATTAATAGCCAAGCACATCTTTTAAAGGGCAGGAAGAAGGGGCTTAACTAATTCAGGGCAACAGTATTTCTATAGAATAGAACTGATACTGGTGCCACTATGCTTCTTCAATCAGCTTGAAGGTCATGTAGCAGGATAGCTTTCCAGGTGGTCCTAATGGGCCTGGGCCACACATGGGAGCTGTCTACCTGATTGGCAATTACAGGGCCCTTTAACTTGGAGCTGGGGTTGGTGGAAATCCACCTGAGGTTTCGGCTGCCTGCCAGCAGTTAGGTTGTGGGGTCTTTCCCAGGAGGCAACTTCCTGCATGGGCAGGGCAGGCAGACTCCCCGCCAGGTACAGGATCACTCACAAATTGTAATCAGTCAGAGGAATGCAAAATGGTTTAACATGAGAAAATCAACTTTATACATGATATTAACAAAATGGACAAAAATCCACATAATCATCTCAGTGAATTCCCCCCCCCCTCAAAAAATGAATTTGAAATAGCCAAGAGTATTTCACTGTATGTGTGTGTGTGTATGGCTTTCATAGATATATGAAAGAAAAAAAAACATCCAGCAAACTAGGGCTAGAAGGGTATTGCCTCAACGTGATATCTTGGCATCTATAAAAACACCACAGCTGACATCATAATGATGAAGCTGAAGATTCTCCTCCCAACATTAGGAACAAGACAAGAATATTCACACTTCCTACTTATTTTCAATATTGTACTGAGGTTTTAGCCAGGTCCATCAGACAATAAAAAGAAATAAAAGGCATTCAGATTAGAAAGGAGGAAATAAAGCTATCTCTCTTTGTAGAACACATGACCATATATTGAGAATATAGAGGGAATTCAAAGGAATACACGTGTGAGCACAGACAGAATAAATAATGTGAGGCCCGCAACGTGGCACAGTGGGTAAAGCCGCCGCCTGCAGTGTCAGCATCAAATATGGGTGCCGGTTCGAGTTCCGGCTCCTCCACCTCTGATCCAGCTCTCTGCTATGGACTGGGAAAGCAGCAGAGGATGGCCCAAGTCCTTGGGTCCCTGCGCCTCTGTGGGAGACCTGGAAGAATCTCCAGGTTCCTGGCTTCAGATCAGCCCAGCGCCAGCCATTGCAGCCATTTGGGGAATGAACCAGTGGATGGAAGACTCTCTCTCTCTCTCTCTCTCTCTCTCTCTCTCTCTCTCTGCCTATGCCTCTCTGTAACTCTGCCTTTCAAATAAATAAATCTTTAAAAAAAAAGTTACAGTATACCAGATTAGTACACAAAACTCAATTGTATTTTGAGTTATAACAGTGAACTACGAACATGAAAACAAAATTAAGAAAATAATTCCTTTTACTCTATTACCATAAAGAAGAAAATGGGATGAGTATTTGATCTGGAGTTAAGACACTGCAACCCATGTTCAAAGTGCTGGTTTAAGTCCTGGCTACTCTGCTTCTGATCCAGCTCCCTGCCAGTGTACCTGGGAAGCAGCAAATGGTGGCTCAACCACATGAGTCCCTGTCACCCAGGTAAGAAACAGATGGAATTCTGGCTCCTGGCTTCAGCCTGGCCTAGCCCTGGTGGTTATCATTCAGGAAGTGAGCCAGCAGAAGAGAGCTCTCTCTCTCTCTCCCTCTCTCTCTGTCTCTCTCTCTCTTCCCTCCTTCCCTCATTCTCTTTCTCTCTCTCTTCCCTCCCTCCCTCGTTCTCTCTCTCTGCCTTTAACATAAATAAATAAACCTTTTAAAAACTAACTCAAAATATATCAAAGATCTAAATGTAAGCACTAAAATTAAAGCTCTTAAAAGAAAACATAGATATAAATCTTTATGACCTTGGATTAACCAAAAATGTCCTAGCTAGGGCACCAAAGCATAAGTAATCAAAGGAAAAGATAACTGGGTTTCGTCAACACTAAAAGATTACAAAGGCACTGTGAGGAAATAAAAAGACACCCCAAAGAGTGACAAAGCCCTGAGCTGTTACCTTTAAAAGGGCATATTTAATGACGTGAATTATGTCAATAAAAATTAATATGAATAAAAGCACCAGGTCTCAAAGAACAGATATTTGGAAGTATAACAGTGATATGGCCCAACCCCTGGGACATAGCTGCTGATTTTAGATCCGAGCAAAGTAGGGCAAGCAGGAAAGCTATTAGCTCAAGCAACTGGAAGGAGAAAACCACTATTTTCTACGATGACAAAATGAAGAACGTGTTTGGATGGAAAATTAAATGTTTGTTTTGGGGCATGTTGGTTTGAGATGTCTAATTAGTTGTGCCAAACCCAGTTTCCAAGCCTCCTCTTATTTGTAGGATCAGAGTTTTCTGCTCTCTGATTACTGATGACCCTCTGAGACTGCCTGGCACATCTACCGCTGAGGTAGCTCCTTCCACTTCCAGCATTCTGTGTGGCGTCTTGGAGCCCGACTCCTCAGCGGCTGCTGCTGAAGAGCGTGAACGGTGCCACCTGGGAGATGGAGGAGTTGATGCTCCGCAATAGAAATTCTGACCAGAAGGGGAGTCTGCAGAAAACCCTTTTCACTCTTTCTCACCCGATGGTGGTGTGAGATGCAGTAGCTAATACCCTGGGCTCTGAAGGCGTTCCGTGAGACTAAACACCTGGGCATCTTTAACAGCTCAGACACTCCAGTAAACCTACTCAGGCTTGCTTTCTCTGCTTCCTGCCGGACTTCCCACTTCCCCTCAGTGATCTTTTTCTGCAAATGCATCAGTCCATTGAGGTGTGAGCAATAACATTCTGCCCCAGGCTCTGTTTTCTCAATAATCCAGACTAATACAGGCATCTAAGTAACGTCTGGTAGGCAAAGCAATATATGAGTCTGTAGTTTAGAGAAGAGGTTCCAGGCTGGGAATACGGACTTTGGAGTTGTATAGTGTTTAAGGACGTAAGATCAGATGACATCAAGAAGGGAGTGCATATAGGTAGAAAAAGAAATACCAAGGAGTGCAGCTGCTCAATCATATGGTAAGAGTACTTAGAAAGAAAGAAAGAAAGAAAGAAAGAAAGAAAGAAAGAAAGAAAGAAAGAAAGAAAGAAACAAAGAAAGAAAGAAAGAAAGAAAGAAAGAAAGAAAGAAAGAAAGAAAGAAAGAAAGAAAGAAAGAAAAGGAAGAAGGAAACCACTAAATTGTCTTCCATACTATCTATACCATTTTGCATTTCCACTAGGAATTGTTGCTTCACATCCTTGCTAGGATGTGAAATCAGTGTTGTGGATTTTGGTTATTCTAATAGATGTGTAGTGTTACCTCATTCTTGTTCTAATTTGCATTTC